GTACAGCCTTCAAAATGGAACCTTGGCTCACATGGAACAGCAAGCTTTGAAAGGCCGTACAATGACTAGTGTAAAATAATTCAAACAGGAAAACCAATGGTATGATTTATATAAAAAACGAGAAATAAGAAACACATATGAACCACACCAACAAACAAAAACCACCGAACAACAGGCTCCTCACTTAGGACAGTTGCATATTAATGCATCAGGTTTAAAAGTTCTAATAGTCATCATCCTTCACCCTAACCTGAGACAGTAGTGTAACATTACAACACAGAAAGGCACACTAAAAAATATCAATTGTAATGGCTTGACTCGATTAAAAAGAAATTTAAACAAAAACAAGTAGATATACACTGAACGAACGAGTTTAATCTAGGACACAATATAAGTACAATTTTGAAACGTAGGTGCCTATATAATAAAGATATTACAAGTAGTATTAAAAAAGATGTAGGAAGAGTGTCTAAACGACAAATCTTACCTTTTTTTCGTCTGACCCTGACCTCATGGTTCATTGGAGCAGGTTTAGTTTTTGTTGTTCTTTTTCTCAAATATTATAATCAATCATATTCAGTTTATTGAACAATTGTAAGGTGTACATATCTGTCTGGCAGGGTTGATATGAACATGACCTCACTTTTATTGATAAGTTTTCGTAATTTAGTCGGTTGATCAGATATCAAAAGCAGAATTTTGTTGTTTGATCTGTTTCTCGGGTACTATTAAGGATAGGACCACTATAATTGCTGTATGGAATGGTTCTAATGTGTAAATGTCTGCCTGGCATGGTTCATCTGGCCTTGACCTCAGTTTCATAGAATATTGATTATGTGATACTTGTGGTAAACCCTTTATATTACAGAATTTTTTATATCAATGCAATGATAAGTAAAACAGGCGAAATATTTCAGTGTGCACTCTCTGGTCTTCAATCTGCATGCTGAGATTAAAAAACAAATGTTTTCCAGCTTCTCCTTTCAACTTGTTTTCGTCTTGTCAAAGTAGTTAATAACTGGTACTTTCAATTGTTATGCACTGTATGCACATGCATGTTGTGCCTGTGCAATCATTTCTCGTGAAATCAACGATGAAGTGTCTATTATACTGTAAATCTCGTTTGAGGTTTTTGATACTAGCTGAATATTACTAAAGGAACGGGTTGTACGCTCTTAAAATTTCCATATCGTATATTCCTATGTCTTTGCTAAAATGATGCTTTTCCATATAGCACAGAGAATACCACAAAGAATTCCTTCTAGGCACAACTTTAATCTGCATTGTATTTGTGACTTTTCGGATTGACCTGCTGTCACAATACTTACATTAAAATTAGTTTAGTAATTCAGTTTTTTAAATAATTTGTTATGGAAATAGATCGGGACAGCTGTCATTTGATGACCTTTAGTTGTCGTTGGTGATTTTTATCTTTTGTTTGCTGTCTCAATACTAAGATTAAAATATATTTAATGTCATCATATACATGTATTTAGCAAAAGTAAAGGTCCAGGAATAATAGTTCATGACTCAAAATCACTATGCACAAAAGAAAAGAAAAGTAACTGAGTTTTTCGCTATCTGCCATCAGTTACGTTAATCATCTGTCATTCCGTTCTCTCTTCTGTTTAAATGAGTCTCAATGTAAACGAATGATGTGATATTTGGTATCATAGTTGTTATCATTTTTTCATATAATGCATTATTTGTTTAAAAAGACAAAAAACATAACAAATAACATTTGAGCAAAAATACTTTTATCACCAAAACTACTTAGTAAAATCTTAAGTTCTACGAATTTATTTTCATTTACTAGCAATGGATAGATACAACTGCTGATGAACTATTGTCCCCAAGGGTACAAATGTATCTTCACATCATTAGTCCGTGCTTCGGTATTGATATTAATTTTTAACAAATTGAATGTTTTCTATAAATTTACCGTGTTAAATTAAGAAACTAAGGTTAAAACTCCCTCTGGAGGAAAAATTGAACTTAGATGACTTCGGATATTTTTTAGATTCTATTTGGTCGTATAGGTCTTCACGTGAGTAGGTCTCATACATCCTAGGCTTCAAGTGTTTGGGTTTAAGCGTTCTTTATGAAAGTCAATCAAGAAAATTCGCTTTGGACGATATTTTCATTAACCTGCATAGGGTCAATACCACTAGCTTCTCATTTGTTACATATTACATTCATCAGAATATATTAAACAAAAGTTGTTGTGTTTACACAGAAAAACCTGTGAAACTGGAAAAGATTTAAGGCAAAACAGGAACTAGATAGTTAAATATCAAAGGCATTTTACGTTTCTGAAAATAAATAACAAAGATTGAGGTTCTTTTTTATTCGTCCACAGTAGGTGCCAAAATAAACAACTGTGTTTCATTGATGCGGTCCACTCATTTATACAGTTTAGATAACATATGGTTGTACATTATCTTTTACCCCTCTATTCCCCCCGTCAGTCAATACAGTTTACTGCAATTATTACAGATCATCCCAAACAACCATGCACACTTAGTTTATTGGCACCTTCTGTTGAAACGAGAAATATCATTATAAAATCCAGGAAAGTTTTGATATTTATGAAACATAAAATGCATTTATATTCTGATAATGAAGTTCCTCCCCTGCCTCAAAACTTAAAAGGTGCACAAATATGTCTGTATTAATTGTAAAATTTGTCATGTAAATACGACCATATTTGCAAAAAAAGATTATGACGAACCCCATGGTTTGAGCTTTTTGATCAATGTCAATTCAGAAAAGCGTCTACATCGACGAAATTGATAGAATGTTATTTTCATGAAAGCCAAATTGAAATAAAAAAAAATTGTAAAAAAATATGGATATAACTTGACATATTCACGTTTAGTCTCCTAACCCAGGAAGAGACACGTTTGGTAAGGTTCACTGAATTTTAATTACAGACATATATGGCCAACAACAACTGCTAAACAATGTACGCTTATCGTGCTTTAATATTTTAGTTATTTTTGTAATCAAATGTTTTGTTTTCCTAGGAAAAAACGCATTTTTGCTGACAAAACATATGCTCATATAAAGTACTTTATAGGTAACATGTTTTCTTTTCATGTTTTGATATTTCCCTAACATTTGTTTTTCATGTAATCTATATAGAAGGTGAGTATTGTAACAAATACTATTCAGGGTTTTCTTATCAGATGTGTTCGAAATAAAAGGAAATATATGAAAAATATATGAAATATATGACATCTGCATGCATAAAAATCTGTTCAGGAAAAAAACTATAACAAAAACCAACAAAAAGCCGTCCAAATATCTGTGCATCTTGACGACAATATGAATATAAGTTTTAGATGTTTAGATAAACGAAAACATCTATCGTATTTGCATCAAAGTACTATCCTGATATTGTACAAGCACTAGCTATCAAGCTAATGATACGTTACAGAGAATAACAATCGGATAGCGGAGGCAGCACAAAATGCGAAGCCAAGCATGTCATTTGTAAAAGTTTTTGTAGTTGCTTCACAATAAACAAACAAGAAATGCATGTCGTTCAACGTACCACTTCGTATAAAACCCCCATCCAATTTCTGACATCTTGGGAATAGCAGTCACGACATTTTGTCCGAAAGAAAGCAGCTCACAACTGTAAAACAATACACTATTATTTTCAAAACAATGGCACTTTATCATATCACAAAAAAAAAAAAAAAAAAAAAAATAACAACAAAAACACAATAATTTAAAATGAAACAAAAGAGAATAAACGACTAAATTGACATAAATGTACGATTCGGTATGGCTTTTTCGATTGTTTGGCCGAAACCTTTTGACTTTTGCCTTATTTCTTGAGAAATAATTTACAACAAGTTATTAAATAAACAATAAAACAAAGAAAAGTTAATTCTGCCCGGAGGAAAAACAAATTTTCAAGCTAGGTCTCAAATTTTATAGTACACGAGCTTACCATAAAGCGTTAATCATAGTACGTGTGCTTTGTTAACTTTCATTGCGTTTGTTTTTTAACTTCATTATGTTCATGAAAGTAAATTTTTAAAGAATTATGCAACTAGAACTTAATCTTAACTTATTGATTATTTAACTTACTGAAAAAAGAGTATACAGATCAATATAAATATAAAAATGGAAAAAAAAAGAGAATAAAAAAAAGCACCTTTTCCTTTATTTGTTGCCCTGCAAGTATATATCTAAAACCACATTACCTGTTTTCATTGTAGTTGAACCCCATACATTCTTCATCTGTCTTACATGTTATTGCACATATCTTTACGGATAGCTGCATCACTAGTTTATAAACGTAAAGATCAACCCTCTCGTCGGATGGACCGCACTTGATAAAATGGTTGGACGCATTTCCATAAACTGCAAAAGAAATAGAAATACTAAGTTGAAATGTTGTTCAAAATTCAAAGAGAAACAAGCTTAATGTGTTGTTTAAGTAAAATATTGAACTTGGCCCCATACATATAGTTTTCAACATTTCCATAAAAATAGTCCGAAAAATCTAATCAAAACTTCTAAAAATGAATGAAAATTAATAAATCATTGTTTGCTAAACGATGGCATACATATTAAGAACGAAATATAATGAAAATATCACCATGCAACTGTAATGAGATAAAGTCGCATATATGTAAGCAGATACGGATGGAATTAGGAATGGTTACGTATAGGATTAGATAGACGAGCTCTTTAAGTTTATATTTTGAAAATAAGTTAAAAATAAATTTGACTTTGATCATCATGGACAGACAATTCTGTATTGAAATATAAATATCTATTTCATTTTGTACTTTAAATGCATAATTACCAGTAGATTGAATTATCCAGTCGCCGTTAGAATTATAACTGTTTAAAACGCCAATACTTTTCACCAAAAACGGGTTTGGATCTGTCCATTCACCAATAATATCATCACCAATAACCGATCCTCGTCCATTTTTGATAACTCCACCATCCCAACTCACCCAGAAATATCTGAATTCTCAACCTTTCAGACGATGACGATCGATTACAGCATTCCAAGACGTTGAAAATGGTGTGGTTAATAAATTATCTTTGCGCCGCACCAGCTGTGTTTTTGTATTAGTATGTGCACCAAAATTAAAATCGTAGAACGGCATTATGCTATCCATAGTGGTTGAGCTTGATAAATATATAGTTTCATCCCTGCTAGCTTTAACTTGAAATGTGAAAGAAGTGATTGTTGAACCCTCGATGCCATATTTATCTAAATACACAGCATGATCCAATATATCAGGTGTTGAGCCAGATGTCATTTGTTGTCCATCATCGGTGGAAGAAAATGTAAATTCTACTACCAGACCTACAATAATTTAAAATTAAATTGTTATCAAAGCAACTGCAACAGAAAAGTGTGTTTTGCGGTTTTAGTATAAACGGTACCAATTACTTTAGTGTTCAAGCCATTTTTGGTTTTATGGTTTATATTTGCTAATAGTTTTTTTGTGTTTTGTTACTTTTCAAATGTTTACCATGAACGGTTGATGTATTATTCTGAAAGTGTAGTCAAATAGCTAAATGCGAATGGTCAAACGAATGAGAGTACACGTTATTCACCTAGCCGTTTCAATAAGCGTTTTAAAATTATGGTCGCGATCGTATTACCTGCTTAATCTTCTTTAGGATGATGTATAAGGATTGATTGATTGATTGGTTGGTGTTCAAACCTACTTCAGCAATATTGTGCTGTGTCGTGGCGGTCAGTTTTTTATTGGTAGAGTAAGTCGAAATGCCTGAAGAGAATCACCGACCTTTGGTGGGAAAACTGACAATACAAGTCAATTAAGATAGGAGTGGAGAGCACCTGCAACATGCGGGATTTATACGGAAGAATATGTAAAACAAAAAATCTTTCAACAAAAATAGTTAAACTGTTGTTCAAAAATTCAAACCATCTTTTATTTTTCGAGTGTCGATCACTGCTGACTCTTTTGTAGATGACATGCTCGTCTGGTGTACACAATTAATCAAGTTATCTATGATGAGTTTCTTTTTTACTTTTAATGTAATTCAATATGCACTATATAAAGAAAAGAATGCGAAAGCAAACACTAGATTTGGAAACAAAATATGACATGATAACTAGTTTGCATAACTGTATAATATAATATATTTATATAAAAAGCGATGAACATTTTTACCTCAGGACACTGTCACATATTGTAAAGTTTACCAATAAAATAATATTGATTAAAGTTTTCATTTTCCAACAAATCAAAACAATTACTATTATTGATAAATTTTCATCGTATTAATAATTTAGTAAAACATGATTACAAGAGTGTGAGAATGTTGATTGTGTTCGATACAATGTATACATAAAATGTGTTGTAAAATAAACTTTGACGAGACTGATACCAGTCAAACTAAAATAATATGAAAACGTCTAGCGTTCATCATACAGTCTTCACCAGTAGTTTAATGTCCACATTATCTTTAGGATCTGACTTCTATTACCCTGAATTATGCTTTTAACTTCCAATGAAATATTAATTACTATAGGAAATCATATTTCCTACTCGGGTTTGTTCATTCAGGTGGACAGTTAAATCTTACAAATACTATTGTTCATTTAAGATTTTATCAGTTATTGATTGGCAATTCGATACAATGAAACACTTCTCATAATATAATCTGTCAAATGCTGTCTCGAGGGCATCGTGTGTCCAACTAAAGATACTTGTCATCTCTAATATGTTAAATTATCAATTGCCAAACTGTCAAGCGGCACAAATGAGTTTGACGTACTGGGTTTTCTGACACTTGTTCCTGTTAACTGGTTTAATGAACCTGATATTTTCTGAAACTACAAAAAGTTACTTTTTTTTACTAAATATTTGTTTGGTAAGATAAGGGAACTTTTTTGAAAGATATTTCAAAGTCCATGGTGCCAAAAGTACCCGAGCGAAAGTTAGCTGGACCAAAATTATAAAAGAAAGTTCAAAACTACCGGTGGTTTTTTTCCGGCTGTCTTCTAGCTATTTTATCGATTCGCATACATACAATATCAATTGCAAAAGTTCGCATGGCAATCCTTCTGATATTAAACTCCATAATACGGAGCCAAATGTATCAGGATATACATCTTATCTTTCCTAATTTTTTTCTCTCCCGTTTGATATATGCTATATATTTGGCGTTAAACTGAGATTGCAACAAACTTTTTTTTTATATTTCTTTGTTTTCCATATTTATTGTAATTTTAAAAACTAATGTGCAAATTACGCATTTTTTAAAAAATTTTGACGATGAACTTATTTTTTGAATGGAAGATACCGTAATACACGACATAGCGTAATACATGAAATTTTACCAGATATGTTTTTGTTTTCTTCTTCAGAAAAGCTAGTTGATCACACTTTGTTTGTTCAGCAATTAAGTTAAAAATTAGTTTGTGCTTAAATTAATCTATTTGTATTTATAATGTGTTATATTTAGTTGAATTTACTGCTAAAAAAATATGTCATGTAATTGAGAGTTGCCTTCTTTGTTAATATATAACATTATTAATGTGCATATTTCTTGGAAACAAAATAAAATTTGAACCACTTGTCAAACTTGTAATTGTAAATTTGAATTATTTTCAAAAATGGTCCTAGAATTCTTCATTACCAAAATTTTTAGAAAGAAAAACAAAATTTAAGACTCGGTAAAAGACGACACGAAATGAAATGATAAAAAAAGACACTAATGCATGCAAATTTATCAATAATCATAAGAAATTTTGAAATGGAACTTCTTTTTACAATTCATTTTTCACTTGAGGTAATCTTCAATTTAGATTTTTTCACCATGCATTGTTCAAAACTTATCAATTATGTTTATGTTTTAAACAGTTTGGTTAACTTTAAAATAATGTAGACGAATCTCTTTTAAGATTTTTATTTGAAAAGACTGTTAAAAAACCCAAAGAAAAACAAACAGGAACGTATGTACAATTATATCTCATCGCATTTGCATGACGACCAGGAAAATATTTCAGAAACATTTTGAACATTATGAAATTTAATCTAAAAAAAATATGCGTTTCAACAAAAGTAAAATTAGAAATATTTTACTTACCAGAAAATGTCTTCAAGAAAAAAAGCATATACAAAATACGGTTTTTGTAATACATTTTCATAACACATGACTAAAATGACATCTGAATTGAACGACTTTCACAAATTGTTTGTTTGATCCCGTAATCAGCATGATAGCATAATTCTGTTATGATAGGAACTGTAAGATTTGAAATATTGATCTGTTATCGAAATAAGTTTTATATTAATCCTCAATACTATTACAATACAAAGTTTGATATTAAGGTTGATTAAAATTATTAGTGTATTTTAAAAGTTGTAATTATAATTCACTGGCTCCCCTGAGAACACGCTTAAAGGAACAAACAAAAACTAAATAAATTTCTCACTGTTAGTTACTTGATTTACTTGATCTCCTAGTATTGTCAAACATGAATGTATATGAAGAAATACCAAATAAAAGTGTATGATATGTTCTTCAAACGTATTAACTAAAATAAAATAGCGAAAGTCAAGATAAATTCAAAATCAAATGTAAGACTTTATGAATTTAACAAACGGAACGAAAGGAAAACAGATATCATACACTTGACTTGGTACAAGCATTTCAACACAAAATGGTGGACGTATATGCACTATAAAAACTATTGTACTTTGTTAGAAATTGTTATGTTCTTATTTTTGAATTGACCATCATCGTTCAACAATAAACCGAATAAATTTCGATATCAATCTATATTCAATGACTGCTCTATTTCAAATATATATATTGTATTGAGCTTTACTACTGCCACATATAAGAACATAATTGCGAATGGAAATGGTGAATGTGTCAGAGAGACAACAACCTGATCAAAGAGCAGAAAAATGTCATTATCAACTGATTATTTAACGTTAAAAGTGACATAAACTTGAAAAGTATTCAAAAGTCTCAAACAAGTACTAGTAGTCCATGCACGAATTTTAAGCAAATGATGCACTTAGATATGATTCAGCGTCTCTGATAATTCTATTGTAGTCAAAATGTCAGGTTTGCACAAATATTAACAGGAAATCTTTGATGAACTTTTGTTCAAACCCATACTGGTAAGTTTATACTATTCAAAAAGCAAATTGATTTAAGATAAACCATAGTCACAATAATTTAAAGTTTTATCATTGCTTGGCCTGAGTCTCAGAAAACACGGTTTAATTTTTTTCGGAATTTTTTTCTTATATCGATTTGTAAATTAATAATCGTTATACAAGAATTCCTACCTATGCGTCTTATTTATTTACCCTTCTTGAGTACCTGCCTTCATATTTTCGTCTTTTTGAATAATTTTTTTTTATGTTGGTGTATTTGTTTTTGCAAGTTTAGGTGTTTTGACTGTTTTTGTCATTGTCACTTTAAACTTGCACATTCGGTCTCCTTTTTATCGACAGATAACATAAACATGCTTCTGATGTATCAACTTCGTGTTGAGTTAAAGAGCGACATCTATTCTATTCGATAATTCTCTCAACAATGGATAAAGCGACGGATGTCCCTACTGGGACAGACAAATCTAACTCTACGTAGTTACCTAGTTTACCAAGGATTTGATGCGTTCGAGATTCCCATGCTTCAGTATTTCAAATAGTAATGTATGAACTGTTGTTTATCTGTCTTTTTTCATTGTTCTGGCTAAAGTGCAAGTTTGGTTTTGCTTTCCCTGTGGTTACGTCTTCCTTTTTGAATGCTATTTGTTCATGTCCGCTTTACTATCTCTGATCTACATAGCATTTCCTGATAAAATGTAAAAAGACACATATCTTATCATAATATTTAAATCTGGTTTAGGTGGAATTTTTTCTTGATGTTATATGTTACTATAGAAACAATCTCCTCATTTTCGTTCTTGAAGGTGTATTGACACATAAGTTTTGATATGCTGAGTTGAAAACTTATTTTCCATTACATATTTAAAATAATTTTCGAAATAACTCCTTTGTAGTTAAATAAAATAATGAGATTGCAATTAGATATTTATCACAAAGCAATTATTGGGCAAAGGGTTGGAGTAATATTTTTTTGCACTAAAAAAGATAAAAAAAAAAAAAACCAAACAAACTGAGATTTGTAATCAAATTAAGTGAAAACTGTTTCTGTTATATCATGCATAAAAATTAAAAGCCAACTAAATGAATTGTTAATATATTTTCACCTTGATCTTTGTGCATTCATTTTAGAAATAATTTCATTTATCACTTAAGATTACTGTCATGGTGCGATGCCATTCCTCATATATCATGCAGATCA